ACAGTTTTTATAGTTGATTAACTCTATTTTCAACCATAGTGTCATGGGTCACTCGATAGACGAAAAAGTTCATATAAACTGGTGTTAAATTATATGAATGCGGCGAATACCAAGGGTGGGTGTGGGTGTGTTTTATCAGGCCTCGCAGCCGTACTACTTTCCTGATTTTTTCCTGATTTTTTAAAAACGTCCTGTTTTTCCTGTTTTTGACCGAAAATCCTGATTTTTTCCTGTTTTTGACCGAAAATCCTGATTTTTTCCTGATTTTTCATGATTCATCCCAATAGGGGCTATATATACTTGATCATGACATGTTGTATTTTTATTTTAATTAGTTTATTTTCAAAATGCACATAAAAAAAACATTGTAGAAAATCTTCAACAAAAATAAAACAATATACAGTCGAGGACAATTGAAATTATACCTTTTGATTTTTTTGTTTTTTGTGACTATACGTTTTTATCTATTAACTTACTATATATAGGAAGAAAGCCCAGAACTTGCTGTATCTTTTGATATATTTACTTTGAACATTAAATGCAGTTTAAAACGTAAAAACTATATTAGAAAAAAATATTCTTTTTCTTCCAATACACTTTTTACATTTCAAACTGCATTTGATGTTCAACGTAAATATACCAAAAGATATAGCAAGTTGGGTGTGTGGGTGTGTGGGTGTGGGTGTGGGTGTGGGTGCGTTGTGGATGTCACTCATCTCTCAATCCGTACGCACACGCACACCCGCATTCACACCCTAAAAGTTTATGATGTTATATATAGATTCTGTTGTTACTTGTTCATATTTGTCAAGGGAATTTATATAATTTCTGGTTATCTTTTCGATTGTACCATCAAGTTTTGGTATATAGGGTGATAATGGTCGTATAATGATCGAAAATTTCCATTTGGCGATCTTTTTTGTTTCATATTATATACTAAATAAAACTTCTTGCTACATTTAAAATTTTCTTATATTGTTACGATCCAAAAAAGCTCACATCTCTAAAAATTTTCTTGCTCTAAACAAAATGTTTTTATTTGTATTGGACACTAAGACAACACACCTAACAAAGACGAAAAATTTTTTTTGGAAGTTTGTTCCTACAAATAGTTATCGCCAAAGCATTATAGTAACGCACTCATCGATTTTTTCGAACTTCCTAAAAACGCTGATTTTTTTTGTAGCTTTAACAACAATAAAAGGTAATCCATTCGTGTCAAACATTAGTTCAATCATAGATGATACTACTATGATTTTCATTTTTTTAAATGATAAAGTAGTGTTTGAAATATGATAAGAGATAATAAGACCTTTTTTTCGTCATATTTGCACAAAAAATACTTGATTTTGGCTAATGATTACCATTTACTCTCTTCTTTATTCAAACCAAATGACATCTATCGATAGGGAATATACAAAAACTTCTAAACAATTTTTGAATGAAGAAGATCAATTGCATCATGTTCGAGAAATCTTCAACTCAACATTGGCCAAGATTGGTCCTTTTTTAGATGTACAGACTGCTTAGTTCTTGCACTTTTTTTATCACTCTCCGGATCTTGATGTTAATGAGCTACCGTTGTGTATGATATGAATCACCATGATGCAAGAAAAAACAAGCCAGAAAAAAGAGAAATGATTTACATGCTTACTGAAAATGCGCACTGTGAAAGGATGAAATACGCATGTGACCATGTGAAAAAGAGAAGAATGATCAACCTGGTAACATTATTTTTTTCGTTACACTTGAATAAATAAGCAAATACGATCATTTTGATGTTTACAGGTAAGTATCATAATACCACCAAAAAAATGTGACTACCGCTTACAATACATACGAAAAAAGTAATGTGTAGTTGTACAGGCAAGTATTATGTGGTCTATCGATCGTATAAGATCAAAAGTTATTGTTATCTATCTTAGAAAGTGATGGGCTCGTATGGCGATCCTTATCGTCGAACGACGACAAATTTCCATCTGATGCTGTTCTTATTGATGGTAGTGAAGACGATTCATTACAGATGAAACAAATGTATATTGGTGCTGTCAATTTGCAACAATGCAGTTGCCATGGTCCTGTGGGCGACGTAGCAGTGGGCTATGTAAAACGTCATCGTATAGGTAAGACAGAAAAGTTCACAACGATTGTTTCCTATGCTTACGGTACTAAAGCAATCAAAGCCGATGCCAACGACTGTATGCTAAGAATCTTAACGAATCCAACTGGTTTAAAACTACTTTGGCTACCTGGTAAAGAAGGGCAGGTGCCAAAAAATGCCGTTGGGTATTCATATCTCGATGATGAAACTTCACGTGTAGTTCATATTGCACGTACAACCGATAGTAAAATTATTGGTAAAATGCATCCACATCAACGATGTTTATATTTTCCAAATTTTGAAAAAAATATCGAAGAAAAAAGAAGTGAATACGAAATATTATGTGTTGCTAATGAATAATCGTAGACACTGCCTTCATCTAAAATCGACTTTTAAACATGCTAACATTCACATTAAAACATTTATTCTCCTTTTATTTTATTCGAAGCAACTAACCCTATTGTCGCATTTTCAAAACTTTTTGTGACTATTCGTATCTCAATATATTCTTAGACTGGAACGGGTATAGAAAATATTGATTTAAGTATTAAGATGAAACTAACACAGCTAAGAATTGTCAAAAACCGACACCAAAGCCTTGGATCACATGAAGCTTCTCTGAATATCGAAGTTACCAACTCACAAAACAAAAGGGTGGTATTTCGATGAAAAGGTCACTGTGACACTGAATTATGTAATCAAATAATTTCAGGTTGAGAGTGAGTCTTAAAGATTGAGAATATTACAACTAGTATACATTTTCGGAAATAAGGCGGTCCGAGTGAATGCCTATAACTTTTGAAGAAAACATCATAGAAACCTGCGGCTTTCATCGTTCGGTAGAGCACAGCAGATCAATATAGTAGTACCAGATATGACATCTACACATAAAATTTAACATAGCATATATTCTGAGGTGTGTGGGTGTGCTAAGGAGAATATTCACACCCACATCCACCCCCTATCTCTCAACGAAAAGACAATCTCATTCTGCTGTTCTTAAATCTTATTTTTCAATAATCAACTGAGTCAAAAATTAAATAACAATAAAACAAGAGTTTAGTGGATTAACGTATTTCATGTCATTTATCACAATACATAAACACTTATTAGTGGTCATTGTCAAATTCTTTAAGGATAAGCAACAATTAATTATAAGATAAGTGAAAATTTAACTAAATATTGAAATAAAAAATGCCATTGATATCGAAAAAGAAAATCATTATTTAAACTAATGAAAAAGTCAATCATTTGGATTTATATTACAGCAAACTGACACTTTGCAATAAAAAATGAAACAGATCATATTGGTTGACATAAATTTGTCTTAGTATATCATTGAAACTCAAATCAAGTGAAAATCTATGTTTCAATATAAAATGTAACACTCAACTGAACTAGATTCAATTATAATTCAATAACATATTATTGTCACATTTCGGAATAAATGTTAAGAATGATCTGACAAATATTGAACCTTAACATTTAGTACATGAACTTTGAAAATTTTATTAAAATATATCAATTTATACATGTTATACAAAATCATTTTTTAGGATTATAACTTTTGTTTAGGTCTAATTCATAATTAACATTGAAAACTATTGTAGGTTATTCTAAAAGTCATGAATTCGACAAGATATTCATTACAATACTAATTATAAATTTTCATTCAAGTTGCAACATAAAAATAATCGATATTCGACTATTGAATTTATGATATATGTTTGTGTAGTCATCATATAGTATTGATATAGCAATTCTAAACAATTATAAATTAAATTATTTCACTAGAACCAAATAGATTGAAACTTTCCATGAAATAATATTTTAGTAAATTTGATTGAGAATAATACAAAATAAATATATTTTATTAAACTGATCAATGATTCAACTATATCATTAATTAAAGTGTGGATTTATGTTAAATATTACACATATATATATATATAATTATATTAGCCTCATTTAGAGATTTGATTCTGAAAATCAATTTATCATTCAATATATGAATAGACTTTGGTAATAGATAATAATTATGTAATACATGTATTCATTATTTCAACTAAATATTTTATGTGGATATATAAGATCAAATTTTTAGTCTTTATGATTGAAGTTATTATTCAATTCTACATAGTTATTATACAAAAATCGATTATATTACAT